TACGTCAACTAATAAAACTACATAACTTGAATTACTACAAGACCAAAATCATATTTCGGCCTTTATTTCTACTTGGGTGGGCATAGGTGGGCTCAAAAGTTGGACTTTCTAGTTATCTTTCCGTTAAAACCATATAAAAAATAGGGGAGTGAAAACGCTATTGAAAATATTTTTTAGGTTCTAAAAAAACTTGAATTGCTTATTACAATAAACCTTAATTATATGCTTCTTGCATAAAGCATTTTAAATATTTTTCCAAGATTCACACTTGTGTGAGAACTCAATTCGAGGAAGCTGAGAAAGCAGTGTTGGAGCTCTACCGCGAACGGTCGCGGATAAAAGATGGTCACACTGTTCTTGATGTTGGGTGTGGCTGGGACAACTGCAAAGTTACCAGGATCTGCAGCTCGACGACACAAAAAAGCTTCCATAGAAGAGCAATGCCTGTGCGTAAGCGATTAATTCTTTATCAGATTGAGTCGCTGGACTATGTGCCGCAATATTGATTCAAGTTATTTTTGTTACAGTGTGTATGGATCTAAAGCTGCAGAATGTAGAGATGTCGTCGGAGATATCAGCACGTTTGAAACAGAGGCTTCCTGCTCCATAAAACCAATTATGGATTCAGCCGTGAAATGGACAGTATATTGGCCTACATTCTTCATTTCGGAGGGCAATGCCAAAGCTCTGTTTGCGAACGAAGCAATGAAGCAGCCAAAGCTCTGTTTGCGTACAACAATGGACAAGAGTCGATGGTTGTTCAATTCCTATTCAATAAGAAACAAAGCAATGCCAATGGAAAATGAAGTGTAAAAAGCAGTCAGCATTGCCAAAAAATCGAAGTGCATGTTTGCTGTTCAAATAATGTGACCGTTGAGAAATTGTAAAAAGTATAAACCCTTCAAATTATCAAACAGTTTTGCTGGTTGATCACACAAAACTCCAACAGAAAACTAACCAAAAACGCACAATTTCACAGAATGTTGATGCCCAATGTTACACATTTCAGACCCGACTCGATATTCTCAGTTTTCGATTTCTCAAGGTTTTTTAACCAAATGGTCTTGAGAAGAAGTGGAGAGATTGATGAGATAAAAATACCGGATATTTTTCATAAAATAACCAAAATGATTGACAGTGTACAAACGACCACTTCTATCGAAGGCGACCAAAATGAGTTATCAGAAACCATTTTGACTAAAAAGCATTTCTCTAATTCATTCTTAGACTAACAAAAAGACTCCTAACCAAGACCGGCATTACTGTCTCCGCCGCTGCCGGTTTTCGTTAGCCACCGTCAGTGGTGGTGGAGTTCACATTGCCTTCAGCCTCTAAGAAGCGACTCAGCTGCTTATCTTCCAAATGTTCCTGGGCAAAACCAAAATTAAAATAATTTTAAAAACCCAGAAAATAAAATAAGCAAAATATTTATATAAAATTATTAATTGTGATTTGGATGAAAATTTGGGAGAAGGGTAAGATTTGGAAACGCACGGCAAGGCAGGCCTTGTAATTTTGCCACTCTGAAACGCAATCCTCCTTGTCCCATTGGCCCTTCACAAACTTCTTCGAGTACCACCTGCACACAGAGACAATACCCATTATACCCTTTTCAGAAAACGAAAAATGGATTTTAGAGAGAGATGAGAGAGATTAGGGTTTAAGGGCAATAATGCAAACTAATTTTGTGCTGAGAGGACTTGGTGAAGCAATTGTGGTAGGCATCTCTGAGTTTTGCACAGGGAGAAGTGGAAGAAGAAGAAGGTTTCTTCTTGTTCTGTGAATCGGTGATGATCCCCATGCATCACAAACCGGCTCAGAGGCGGAGGGCGAAGACCGAGTTTTTCACTCTCTGATGAAGTGTTTTGGGCCAGTTTATATATTTCTTGGATAGATTTTGGGCCGTTTCGGAAGGAAGGGGAAAGTGTTGACTAGGCTGGACCTCATATTAATCCCATCATCTGTAGTCGATTCTTTTGAGATAATTATCTATAGTGAGTATTCCAAGTTCAAATTCTCTCTCCTCTCTTAGTGTAGTTTAGAGTAGAAATATTGTTTGGCGGGGATAGATGACAGACAATAGACAATCTTCTTCCAAAAAAGACAAGATTAGAGATGACAAAGGAAGGTATTCAGTTCAAAAAAACATACGACAATCAAGCGGAGTAACTTATTTTTATGACCGTAACAACGTTCCGTGGTGTTTATCAGTCCCCATCTTGTAAAAGATCACACGAGATTCAAGTAATGGTTGCATTTTTTCTTGAGAGAATACTAGTGCAATTATCTAGGTCTCTTTATTCTTTGTTTTGGCAAGTTCAAGTTACATAAGTCTGGAAAATCCAGTCCCAGACATAGTACCAGTTTGGTACTGTTTAAATTTTTTTAAAAGCAGAGATGAAAAAAAGCTGAGCTCAATATTATGTTTGGTAACTCAGCAACAAAAAGCATTTATTTTTCAAAAATTGCTGCAAGAAAACAGCTGAAAGGTGGAAGCAGCTATTTGCTGCTTTAAAAAACCGGCTTTTTTTCTTAGAAACACGGGGTGAACGGTAATGTTTAATGAAAGTTTGCAAATGCCGATCCTACCTTCACCTCTCGTGTCGTCCTCTTCCTTGCTCTGCCATCTCACTGGTTCTCTCCCTCCCGTCTCACTCGCTCACTTCCAACTCGTCGCCCCAAACCCAATCCCCAACCTGAAACTTCATTCACAGCTTAATCTTTGAAATTACTCCAGTTTTTTTTTTTTTTACAGTAGTGCAACAAATGCAGGAGAGCATTCACACAGTCAAATCCTCTGCCTCACTTGGCCATGGAGTTAGCAAAAGAGCTGCGAGAGATTCAAACGCTACAGGGCCACGCCGATAGGGCATGGAGCCTCGCCTGGAATCCAGCCACTGGTGTCCCCGGAATCCCCCTTTCCTTCCATTTTTATGTTAGCGGGTCGGTTCTTAAGGGAGTTTTTATGGGTTGCAGGCAGTTCTGGATGAAACGCACACCAGAACCGTCCGATCGTGCGCTTGGTCCCCATTTGGGAAGTTATTGGCCACTGCAAGCTTCGATGCCACCACTGCAATTTGGGAAAATGTTGGAGGCGATTACGAATGTGTTTGCCAGTCTAGAGGTATCCAATGGTGAAAGAATCTAGCTTTACATAAATTGGTAAATTATATTTAGTAATTCACATTTATTTGTTAAGAAAATTAAATTTAAGGCACATCTAATATTATACCATTTTTAGCCATTTCACACAATTACAGCTATTTTACATAAAAGTTTATCACACATTATAATACTGTTTTTTTTTTTCAAAAGCACTGCTACAAAAAAGTTTAACAAACTCTCTGCTGCTTTATTTCAACTTATTATCACAGTACAGCAGAAACAGTTTTTTTTTTTTTTAAATAAACGATACCAAACCAGCCCATAATCTTGTTAAAAAACAGACGCAGCCAAACATGGCATCCTAGTATTTCCGGTATGCCAACTCCGTCGCGACATCGGCAAGGTTTCTCTCGCTCTGAACACTCTGAACCCATTTGGCGTTGATTTGCACCCGCTCAATGCTCTGCTTCACTGTTCTAGTTATCTTCGGGTTTGGATGTGCTTTGAAGAACTCATCTACTTCCTTAACCTTGTCAAATGAAGCAAACTGCAGAGGAAGGTAGAAGGAAATAACAAGGTATTAGAAATCTAAGTTGCACAACAACAGACCTCGAGCATAAGAACGAAAGTTTCTAGAGAAAGAAAGAACGAACCGGTGAAACAATTTCATTGACAAAGCGAGGAATTAGTAATCCAGACCCCCAGGTCTTTGAGATGTGCTCCCAGTTATCCTGGTTTCGGATAATCCAAATGGAAAAATGAATCACAGCAGCAAATGTGGAAAAAGAAAGAAAAAATCCATGAACGTGGAAACATTTTGTAAAATGTCGTAAACTAGTGAGAGTTACCTTCATCCACTTCCATGCTGTTTCCCGACCTTCATTACTAACAGCGAGTCCAAATACAGCATCCTGACTGCGAACCTACATAGACGGGCATTAAAATCAGTATATCAAGCTTTGAGATTCTCAAAATTATTACTAATAAGTAAAACTTCAACCTACAATTCAGAGAAAGAAAATCTGAAATACCTCAGGAGTCAATATAAAGTGGAGAACTTCCAGTGTAATATTGGGATCGGGACAAGACGCTAAAGAACCTACAGGCACAGACACATCGATTACTGCTACAATCTAACAGCTTCATATGTTCAGCATTATTTTACTAATTACTTATATTTACCTAGAATGCGGGTTTTCTCCTGGCTTAGATCACTCTCTCTGTAGACTCTAACAAGAGATTCATAGCCTGATCGGTCAGATACACTTGTTCTTTGCATTACAGCCACATATGCTGCCTGCAACAATAGTCCATAATTAACATCAACGATGAACTTAAAAAGTTTAATTACGTATGTGTAATTAATGATTTACGTCAAAGCAACCTTTCTAATGTCTGGGGGAAGGAGGGGCGTGTTTCTGTCTTCTATAAAGGCATGAAAACGCCTACTTGCTTCATCTAACGTCAGTTCATGACCAAAAACAGCAAGTGCAGTCAAAATTTCTCCTCTCAACATTGCATCTAAATGGCTTTCGCCCGGTTTAGGCTGCCAACCAAGCCTCCTGTAAAGAAATTCTATCATAAATGATAAACTTTGAACAAAATTAAAGAAAAAGATAGAAGCAAATCTTGTGTCCTGATAGTTTATCTACGTAGGCATTTGAGTTGTTAAGAAAAGAACAAGCTTACTCTGCAGAATACTGGAAAAGTCCAATAAAGAATTGTTTAATGTGATCCAGTAGTCCGGGTACAGCATCGGCTGCAATTCTTGCCAGATTATAACTTATCTGTGAAACATGAGGACCAGAATCAGACCAAGGTTATCAATGCAGTAACATAAACACAATGCAGGGGCGATCATTACAGCAATCAAATTTGACAGCACGATATACTCAAGTTCCTCTCTGTATGCACTCAACAAGGTAAGCAATGAAGCAAAAGACTGCTTGCGAGCCATTGATAGGGCAAAGGAATCATCCAAAATGCCTGTGAAAGGAAAAAAAATTGGTGAAAACTTTCACTATCAAAGAGATAAACAAGCATGCGTACGAAATGATGATTACCAAATCTGTCAGTTTCAGACAATTGCTTCTCTTCGATAGCGTTTCTAAGCGCAGCTGCAAGTTCATCCTCATATTTCACTCTGTAAAAACCAGTCTGATCCACATTGACTTTTATCCAACTGCATAAAGCATTGTCTTTGTTGCTTGTGCCTCCACATCCAGCCTTTCCTACTGAGCAACCCAGAAATTCCTTTATGTCAAGAGTTTCAGACTTCGCTTGTAGTAGGAAATTCTTGCGCACATCATACGAGCCACAGGATAATGTAATCGGCACAATCCATTGCCCATCGCCTTGGGAACCGCTTGAGTAGAATTGTGTCTGCCATACATTAATTTACTTATTCCTATTAGATCTTTGTTCGTTTCCTTGTACCGTGGAATAAAACCTAAACAAATGACTTAACAGCTTTTATGTGCATTAGAGCTTGAGAGGATTTTTCAGAATTTCATTTGATAACCAAACAACTTTGAAAGAAGCAAACATAAGGAAACCTGATTAAACTCCAACTTTTGATCTTTGACTTTGACAGAAATGACCGGGTAACCCTTCTGCTGTGTCCATGAATTCATTAGTTTGTTTACAGGTTCACCGGATCCCTCCTCAAGGGCAGCCCACAAATCTTCTGTCTTTGCATTTGAGTAAGCATGCTTTTTGATATATGAAGCAATTGACCTCTGGATGCATTAAAAAGTAGCATGCAATTAACTCTCTAACTTTTTTATATCATAGAAAATAAGATAGTTCCTTCAACCTTCAAGCACACTAGTTGACAAATCAAAGGACATACCTGGAAGACTTCAGCACCTAGATAGCTTTGTAGCATCCGAATAACAGTAGCACCTTTTTTATAACTATATCAAATCTATTCATCAATCTCAGCAGCATGATTGATCTCCACCTGGCCAAAAAGAACAGATTAAACCATAATAAACCAGAGAGACTTTATATACACTAATACTCTCCAATAATAACGCCTTGAAAACTATAGTGGTGAATATTACTATATTTAAAGCCTTCTGTGCAGATGATCCAGATTCGATGCCAGGAAACAGCAAACTTTAGGAAATTAAAATTAAAATGAAACCCAAGAAAGACCAAGTGCACGAATAAGTACCTCAATGGGGTGAGATTCTTCAAGCCCATCCAGCTTAAGACCAGCAGTGACTTCATTAAGAAACTGAGTCCATATTTTCCACTCTGGGAATAAGCTATCAGTAGCTAAATAGCTCACCTAATGACATTAAAACTACTTATTTATAAGTACAAAAGCATGGAAACTAACAAGTATAACAATGATATGAAGTGATACCCATGTTGCAAATCCCTCATTCAGCCATAAATGCGTCCACCATTCCTTTGTTACAAGATTGCCAAACCACTGGTGTGCCAATTCATGTGCCACGGTAATCGTAACCTATTACCAAAAACCAAATAAAGTGATTAAACGTATCATTGAGTGCTAAAACTATACCTCCCTACCATATTAACCAAGATAATTCTGAAAGCAGTGACATTCAGGATGCGCATTTTACCCTTTGCTTGTTGGCACTGCAGAATGTTGTTTCATCAAAAAGCAAAGCCATTTCTCGGTATGTAACTAAACCATAATTCTCCATGCCGGCGAAAGAAAAATCAGGTATTGCAACCATATCCAATTTGGGCAACGGGTATGGCACAGCAAAGTATCTGCAGAACTTAAACATCAATGATTCATATTAAAATGGAATGTTAAGCAGCAATAAGTTCACAACAACAAACAAGTTTCATATACTTAATCCCACTAAGTTTATCACTGTATGTTGCCTAGTATCTTGCGCTCTCTTTCAATTTCCGTTACTCCAAGTAGTACATAATTTTTTAAATTTCCTGTCCCTAGTTTTCCTTACAAGTATCCTCTCCGTTTAGTCATCTCCTCTTCAGCTACAAAACAATATCTTTTTTCCTTTATGTTAAACCCAGTCGCTCTCTGTCCATTAGTCGTACCTCAGGTCAGTACGTCCACCCTATTTGCCTATGGGATAATCAGGCATCCGTTTTGGAGTGGTTATTTATTTAGGTCGATCTTCAATAAGGAAACGGTTAGCTACAGGTACTATACTATAATCTCTCTCTCATTATAAGTTGTGTGGAGCTTAGAATAGTTTCGTGTTTATTACTAGGTCTCATTTCGTGAAGTTCAATTATCAGTGTTGCCGAAACTCATAACTCAATTTTAAACGATTTTTATACCACGCCTCTAATGTGTTTGTACTTTATGACCCACCAAATTACATTAGGGCCTTGGGAACAGCCTAGGAGCGCCCTTGGAGCGGTCTGCTGGGTTTTCGCCTTTTGTTTTGGAGGGTGAGAAAGCCAGCTAAAAGGCAAAGTGTTTTGGAATGCTATTGCTCGATTCTGTGTGCCTTGCGCGTTCCCAGGACGTAATACAAAATTTTTTTGGAGTAGCTTCAATTTTTCTGCTTCCCAGAGATTACCACTGGATACTAATTTCATAACCATTCCTCGTGGGTGTGTGCTGTTGTTAGTGTTGCTCAACGCAATAAGTTACAAAGTATAAGGGGCAACGTAATCTAATTTCTTGTCCCCAAATCCTAGTGCAAGTTTTCATAGCTCACGTGAACTCGGTTCTTTTATGTTTATTATGTCTTCATTCTCTTTTATCTTATGTCAATTAAGATATGGGTTTAGGGCGTCTATTTTTACGTAGTTTATGAGTGCTGCCACCAGTATTTTAGCAAATTTATTGTTTATTTGGAGTGTAGAGAAGATAATAACAAGGCGCAACCTAATGGATTATATATTTGCTATTCTTAAGATTAATTCACTGACCTACTTCTACTGTCCAAGCGTTGTGATTCTGCCGCCAGTGCTGATTTGCTTTTATGTTATTTCCCTATGTATGACAAGATATTTTGCTCCAATTGAATTCTTTATTTATCTGTGCAGCCCTAATTGTATTACTCTTCTCTCTGAGGTAAATTTAATATAATGCCTGTTCACACTTAGCCCTTTGTTTCTACTTTTCTCGTTTTTTGGCAATTTGCTCTGTGTGTTATATGAGGACTTTATGAATTAGTATGGCGTGTGTTTAGGTTCCGAAAGTTGGTGTTGGTATACTAATTATTCATTCATATGTATATTTTTTTATTATATTCCACTCGCAATATTGAGTATTTTAATTGTATTTAGGATTCCCGCTGATAGTGGCGCGATGAAGGCCTCAGCGGTGTTTACTTCTGAGTGGCTTACTAGTGTCAGGTGTATTTACGTATGTGCTCATGGAGAGCGTCTTCTTAACTGGCATATTCATTACTAATCGAATTTTTCTTGCATCTTATCACCTTGAACTTCTATCAATTACGTAATATTATATTGCAAGTTGGTGTTAAGGGGGGTTAGAGGCTCAGTGTCTACTTGTGATATCCCACGATATAATTGTGTCTTCATTCCTCCCTTGCCATTTCTACCATTTAGAGGTCCCCAGTTCCTTATGTCGGACCTCAATGTATTTTTAATAAAGGAAGCATTCTCATTCTTCAACTACTTCAATATTCTTCTCTAAGATCCTTGGACGAGATGTGCTTTTTTTTGATCGGGCCCAACACTCCGTGCCATAAAGCATTGTTGGACGCCATATTGCCGTTCCGTTTACTATTTTATGGTGATTACGTGGCTTACTGCCATTTTTGGTGTTGCATCAACAGGCTACGAAACAAATTTGCGTCAATCAATCGAACGACATACTTCTAACATCGCATTGTGACCAGACCTATCATCTATCCAACTTGTATAATTTCTATAGTTGTACGCATTCTCTTACGATTTTTAAGTTCCTCTTCCATCTCAATTTCTGACCTCCTCCACATAGAAAATTAAGAACTCTACATGAAGATCAACTGAAATTGTAGTGTTTTCACTCTTTGATATCTTACACTGGGAATTTTCAATTTCTCTCAATCTACTCGCTCGCCCTGTTAACTCATTCAGTTGCTGAAGGACACTCACTCGGATATTTCGACTGAGTAACCCTTCGGTACCAATTTATGATCTCTATCTGCCTCAATGAACATAGATCCTCTAATATGTGATCGTGTAGTTGTGGGCACTTGTGCTGCTAAGAAGTGTGTTTCCTCTAAACTCGACAAATTGCACTTTAAACTAATATAAGGTTTTTATTTAGCAATTTGGTCGCAATATAAAGTCACTGCCTACTTATACTAGGTTGAACAATAAGAGTTATTCATCTTTGATCTATAAGGTGAGCTATGTGATTATTATCTCGAAATTTAAAAAAAGCATTAGCACTACCTATTGAATAAAGATTAATATTTAGTTATGTTGAATTCATCCTTGTGAATGAAAAGTTAGGTAGTTCCTACGTTAATGCTGTAAACAAGATCCGGTATTCAATAAGCAGACGTGCAAATTCAAAAATAAGTATTAGAGACAGTAATACTAAAATAAGCTGTATGCCCACTTGAGTTGGTTGTTATATTATTCGAGACCTTTTGTCTAATGTGATGTGGTGTTCTTCTATGAGTGTGTGAGTAACGCCATTGCCAATTATTTGTCTCCTTTATATCTGCTACTATATCTAGTATTATCTCCTTTTTCTATTGTTGCCTTAGTCATATGCATATGCTCGTCCCTTGGCTTTTATTTCTCCTCTCCTTTATGGAGAATTCGTCTGCTCTAGAATAATTTTTAGTTGTTTGGCATGTCTGTGAGAATTTTTGAACGGGCCCCATGTGCATTTAAGAAGCTCTGTGTATTGTACCAAAATAGTAATCCTACCTAATTGATGAGTACCTATGGGTGTGCAAAAAACTCCAGCCTAATATTGGAATGTGAAGGTGTTTGATCTTCTCTTATCTCACTATTGTGTTTGTATAAAATGTGTCTGTATAGAAATATAAATTTTGAGATGTTTTACTTGATGAGAGACATAATGTCTTCTATTCTATTTTAGTTCGAATTTAGACAACTGGCGTGCAAGTTGCAATTGTCAACTTTGGAATTCATGAATAATTAGTAATTTTTACACATTACCTCTTTTAGTGCTTCGAATTCATATAGTGGATCTTTGTCTCGCATGCAGGAAGATGTGTGCAACAGCGGAATTTTCCTCTCTACGTGTTTCTCTGACTTTGAAGTGGGTTTTCCTTTACTAACAATCTTTGACCCCTTAATTTGTTTCCCTTTGTTGTTTATATTTCCCGCAACATGTTTTGGCCCTGTTATGTGGGAGTTTACTCGTACGTTACACAACGTACTTGGATGTCCGGGAGTGCAACGCGCTGGAGAGAAAAGAGGGTGAAATTGTTAGACGAATATGAAAGTCCATACAAGCTTCACTCTTTTGCATCATACTGTTGGTGTCTGGAAGAGGTAGTGGTGACGCTTAAGTTTTTGTAAAGAACGTATCTGTTTTTGATGTCTATTATGTGCTCTGTATAGAGAAGAAAAGTTGCTCAATGAGATCCAATACAATTCCACAGTAAATCTCTGACATATTCGCAATCTTTATCAAAATATAGCAATGTGCTCCACTGAAAATGATTTAAATGTGATAGACCAGTTTCAAATATTGTCCAAGTGTTTTTTCAATTTCCATCACTTAATTATGAAAACATCGTCTCCTTCCTCTCAGTTATATAGTACCGGATTCAATTTTTGCTTCTCTTGAAAGATAACTCAGGACAATGGTTGTTAGATAGAAGGGGTCAATACGTGAAGATTGCAGCCCGGGCACATTGACCATCTCTTACAGATAGATTATCATGAATGTATTTAGGCGTGCCAGTATTCCAATATCATTAAGTGTCCAGAGAGTTAGTCACAACGTTAATAACTACTAGATATTTTGAATTCTTCGAGAAATTTAACAAGTTTACGTGGTGGAGCAAGATTTGATAATTCTCCCAATACTTATTTAACGACTCGCTAAGCAGTTTATACATTAGATTCTCCCCCCTTTCTCGGTTATGTTCATTAAAAATTAGTACTTTTATGTTTAGAGAACAATCGTATTATTCTACTTGTGAATGTGGGTAATCTTTGATGTAATGGATTGTATAAACAACTGCCTTTATTTTCATTCTTTATTTTGAACATTCTTACGATTGTGGTATCGTGCTCCCATTCTTTCAGAGGTCTGTTGTTTTCACCTATCCTAGTTATGAGATTGAGGGCGGGTGCATTTCTGTTGGTCAGTTGGGAAACTGAGGCAGGTTCACTCAGAGGACTCCCAAGCCCGCAAGAGGTATCAAGCTCCAGTAACCTAGATAAAAATTACTCTCCTCACTCATATAGACATTCGCTTTCTTAGACATGTGTGAGATGGGTTTTAGTAGTAGGTTTCTCTAACCTAAGACTATTTTTTGGTGTATTGGTATGGGTTGGGGATTGATCGGAAGAATACATAATCGAATTGCGACGTTATTAAGATTTTAATATGTAGAGATATAGCAACGCTGTGCGTGGCGTAAACGAGCTGCAATACCCTGAGGATCATAGCCTCTCCACCTTCTCCTATTCGTGATGAAAATCTCATAAATAAATCTAATGTCTCAAAACTTGGTTAGAATCTACTTTGATTAATGAGGACATAATGTGTCAGTGAAGACTAAGAGTTGAATGAGTCGCAAACGGACTCACTTAGTAACTCATCTGGCAAAAAGAGCTAGGTTCATCGCGCACATAT